TTATAATACTACCCTTCTGGGGATCAACATTCATACTAACTACGTCTAAAATTGTTATATAAATGAATGGGCGACAAATTCGATGATTCATACAAGCTGCCATCAGTCTTAACTATAAACTTAACTACATGCTTACACAAATTTCAAATAAACTTGGAATTAATCATTAAGGAAGCTTTGGCGTAAACATGCGTACCACATGAGCAACGTAGGTAATACGCCACATCGACTATATACGTATATATTACGTAATATATCATACCGACGATACACAAACGCAAGAGTCATTTCAGTTTATCATTCAGAAACTAACAGAGTGTCGAGGAAACAAAACACGGAATCGACTATTTCTTCATTAGGAAGGAGATACATCAGACTTGATCAGTTCGCTTAAATCATAGTCTTCGCTGTCCGAATGTTGGTCGCATCTGAATTTTGGCTCCGAGATCCTAAGCGAAAGCCATAGATTAACAATCAAAAGAATGAACGTATCCAAAACAAAATACAAACATATATATATTAAGAATAATTAAACAACTAATAGATAAAAATCATGAATAACTGCAAATTTGTAAAACTCAGTATAAAATTAATGGATAGAATTTCAGCAGATTACCAATCAGTGATAAATATACCTTTTAGGGTTGCTCATTACAGCGCAATATAAATTTTTGTCAAAAATCCAACAAAATACGGTTAATATAAATGACGTATCTTCCTCAGTAATATGATTCTTAAAATTTCTCAGTACTGTCAATATCCTTCTTTCATACAGCACAGCAATGAATATATACATTACACTTCATTCTGATGATTTAACTGTATGGGATGAGCCACTTGAAAAATTGGCATTGCTCGCTTGTTGGACATAAATTCCTTCAAACAGACAATTGTACTCAGTCCAGCTCTGATGATAAGCGGTCTGTGCAGGGAAACGCGCTGGCATTAAACTGTTTACCATCTGCTGTATTTGAAACATGAATCATTCAAACAACCATGTATGTGGGCTACTAACTGTTCCAATAATCCATGGATATTTAAAAAAAATCGAAAATATGCCAACATCATTGAAAAACATGTCATTCCGCATAATCAAACAAAAAACCAAGAAATTTCTATAGAGTGGGTGCTATTTCCATTATAGGTACTTACTTTGAACGTTTGTGACGAACCGTTGAACCACTCACCGAATTTTCAACTTTCAGTCGTTTTCGAAATGAAGTGGAATCTTCGGCTTTGCTGCATGTATCAAACAGTGGTAAAAGAAACTTGAACGCTGGATCATCTGCTACTACTTCTCTTCTATATGTAAAGAAGCATGAAATTTGCACTAATAACGAAAACAAAATATATTACGTAAAATGAGCAAATATTCCATGAGGCAAAATCTATTCATTTTTTGTGTACACCATAAAACGGATATAAATTAAATTTGAATCTTTTTGCAATATCTGTGCCTTGAGTGCTGAGAAAGACGGGGAAAGAGGAAACGCTTACAGCAAATAAAAGATGATAACTCGCTTGTTTATTGCGAATATGACTTGAGAATCGTAATAATTTTTTTAAATAAACAGCTTGTATCTTGCGCCAATTTCTAGTCAGTTATCAGACGAGTGAAGACGAACTGTACCCGGTAAGCACACCGATCAGACAAGATGAACACTGCAGAACACTATGCTCTTCTTATTATCGGCAAGTGATTAACCCGCTACCCGCTTTTTGGTTAGCTGCAATGAAGAACAGTTGGGTGAATTGTATTGTCATGGGAAATAGCAAATAATAATAATGCTGAAGCGTGGTCACCGCATTTCTAAAGGGCAAAATCAAACCATAATCTGTTGAGCTATTGTCCCCGAAGATAGAGCTGATCCAGCGGGCAGTGACACAGTAGACTGAATTACGCTAATCATAAAAAAGATGCTAATTTGCATGATTTTTTAAACAACGTTTGTGTGAAAGCGCTTTACCTTCAGAAAAGACGCTTTAACGTTAAAAACAATAAACAGTCAAATATAATTACAGATGCGTTGCCGACTAATGACTGAATGCTCAGAAGCAAATATGTTATAACGTATTTAAACATACAAATGATTGGGGCTGAGCGTCTTCGCGTTATTGCACAACGCTAACCGTGCAGCTCTTTGCAGAAGTTGTTCCAGAAAGAACTCCACTGCTCTGCCTAAAAGAAAAACAAAATCGAGCTCGCCGAAAAGACAGGGTTAGAAGTCCACGAACCAATCAATACAGGCACAGTAGTGTTCATTTTCCCAACCTCTTCATTCTTTTGAAGCACGCGCTTGATCCGAACCTAAAGAACTTATTGTGTTGATCATGAAACATCTCAACATTAAGCTTCATACATACGGGAGGAATACGTGCGCTGAACTTAGACTTTCGAGACATGTTCCATCAGATGATTAACGCAAAAGTTGCCAATAGCGGGATAGAGTCGAAAACGACTTCTTGCACCAACCAGTCATCTAAACGAATAGATAAAGATAAATGTATGCGGAACAGTATAAACGTATCGAAACCATTCAGTGTTCGCACTGGTCTCCGCCAAGGCTGCGTCCTGTCCCCTATCCTGTTTGTGTTG